CGGTCACTTCGGTGTATCGATCGCTTTCCTCGCTAGATTGCTCTTCGAGTATCTCGTTGACGATCCCATCTCTTGTATACGTTCTTACGTAACGTCCAAGCGTCGCTTATCAACGCGAAATCAACGTCCGCCGTGGTAGAATATTGTCGGCAAAAACTATCGAATCAATACCGGCCTCTGGATAAAAGCGCAACCACCGTGCTTCCGTTCCGTTCTATCGTCGATCTTCAGCGATCTTATCTCTCACGAGTGTTATCAAGGGTCAAATACATATCGAGGTGAAACATCGTATCGGTGGCGAGGAGCAATCTTACAGCACTCAACTCGACAACTTGAAGAAGAGGGCCAGACAAATTCTTAATCGACGTCCGTCCTGGATCGTTGCCCTCTCCTCCCTCCTCATGTACAAGATCACTTCGATCGATCTCGAACTGCTCGTAGAAGCAACTAGACGAGCGTGTAAAAAATGCAAACTCGAGATTATCAACCGGCTTTATTTCGGAAGGGAAATATTCTGTAACGTGGGGACAACTAGGGAAAATCTACGAGACTCGATCCCTAGGAAATCGGCTCTGCGTTCTTTTTCAATCATCTCGCGGGAGTGCAGGGAGTGGTAATAGCGTTCGAAAAAAACAAAAAGAGCAACTCGAACGAATGCGAGGATGGAGTAAAAGCGAATTGCCGGCCTTTTCCGGTATTTATGAGCTCGCTTCATTGGATGGCTGACCCCCCTGAGGTCGAAGTCGCCGCGGGAAGACGAGATTTTTCCCTCGCGCGGCCATGCTCGGGCATAAATTATTGCCGTTCGTTAAATACGCTTCCCTCCACGTCGAGCGACCTTCTTCTTCTTCAAACCTGCATGCACCTCGGCCGGAATCTTTGTCCGTGGCGGTCGCTCTGACACCGTGACCAAATTTCCAAACCTGAGAGTATCTTGAAACTCGCATTGGAAAAACTGGCGGAAGCAAATTGGCGCATTCGAGCATCGACCTGCGCGTCACGTTAGATAAACGCTACTGTTTCGTCTGTTGTTGTTATTCCTCTGAACCGATGATTCGTCCTTTATATATTAAGTAGTATCTTTGGACTAACTTGCGTTGAATTACAAAATTTTAACTCTGTCTCTTTGTGAACGTAATGAATTCCAGAAATAAGTAATCTGTCTGTTCAATGACTCAAACTGAGAGTTAGAAACAGCGTTTATATAGAACGATTGCTTTTCGTTGTCATCACTATGTGTATTCTTTCGTATTATTTCATATATAACTTGTTATGTTACTTGCCCTCACTAGTACGCTTTTATATTCTTTTGAAAGGAGAGAATTTTCCAATACATAATTAACTCGTTTAATTAATTATCTACTATCAAATAGATAAATTGAATGTTATAAATTAAGAGATAGAGTTGAGATTCGAAAAGTAATTTGATGGTCGATAGGAATTCTGATGGAGATGTCAGATGTGATTTTCAATTTGGCTGGTTTGTTGGAGGATCAGGGAACTCTCTCTGGTTGGTTTGGCAGCGAGAACTGTTTCTCTGGGAAATGGTCCCGACGTTTCGCTGAAGGGTATCGCATTATAGATCCCAACACGTGCTGATTAGGATGATATCGACATAGCGCACACGAAACTCATTTGCTAATACGCTTCAGACCAATATCTCGACGTGCTCCAAATGCGTTTTATTAAACGTTGTGTTAACCGCTTCGGTGTGAACATCCATTAAAATTGATACTCAGCGAACGGTTGCACACACGTAATTAAATGTAAATCTGTTTGTGCTTTTCATTTTTGTATGGCAGTTCAGTGGATCAACTGCTAACCCTCGTGTAGTTTCGTAGTTTCTTTCAAATAATTACAGTATGACTTTTCGACATGGCTATAGTGATACACTATCATACAACATGTTTAAAAATTTGGAGTATGTTAACACATTGTTTGATCACAAGTTATTAGCTGGTCGTGTTTTCATTCACAAATGTTCAAAAATTGTCAATCTACAATATGTTAAGGTTTCAAAAAGAAAAAAAAAATATATATATATATATAACAGGTCCTTTTTAAATAAATATTTCATTCACAATATTATTTTTTATGGTATTGAAATTTTTACTAATTATGTTTGAAGATTAAAGTTATATTATTCTTGTCCCTTAGAAGAATTTACCGAAGAAATCTGTTTCGTCCAAAAGTGAATTTTTTGAACACAAGTGAATATAAGATTGTAGATCAACAGAATGCTAGATTGTCGTTGCGAATTTTTTTCGTATATGTTCGCCGTAATTGGATCAGTAGTATAATTTTTAATTCTTTAAAAAAATTTAAGCCTCAAAAATTCTCTTATACACGCTCGCAATGCTCTGTTGTAGAACTTAGTAACTTTAACAACTAAATACTAGTAACACGAGTTTAATCACACGAGAAAAGACGCCAAGAGAAAAAACGAAGGAAAAAATGAACTAAAGATCACAAAATTCTATTAAACGAAGAGTCTTTACGATCTCCAATCTCTGACAATCCTCCACGGACAATGAAAATCCCCTTAAGACGGATCATCGTGCTCTAATCTGGATCATAAAACCGAAGAACTCACGTAGAAAACAATACCATCTCGAATCCTCGTTCTCGCAGTCGCGAGATAACACACACAGACACACGATCGAAGAAACAGAAGCAATTCCAGAATCGCGTTAACGAATGGCGTCCAACACGTCGATCGAACGCAATAAAGCGAACACGTGGAAAGTGATAAATTTGATCCCGGACTGGCGGCTGCTAATTGCCAATAAATGACATGCATTCGATCAGATACCATAAACGATCGTGCACACGCTGATAAATAATTTATAACATTTATAAGCAACGCTGCGTCGCGAGAATACGAATAGGTGTGGCACGTGATGCAGAAAAAAGGCAAAAGAGAACATGCATGGAAAATTCGTGTAAAACTCGACTCTTTTTTTTTTTCTCTCTTTTTTTTTTTTTGTTGTTCTTTGCGTCCGTAGTCTCGATATTTAATCGCACGTTTACACATTTGTCTGGCAATGTCGTCATCGGTCGTCATTCAGCATGCACAATAATACGCGTTTGACCACGTGACGAGCACGTACCTGAAAACCAGCTGGTACATTCCACTTGAGACTTGATTAGCCTATCGAAACTAACACCGTAGATAATTACGTAGACAAGTGTCGTATTTAGCACGTGTTCGCCTTTTAATGTCGTACGTCGAGGCTCGTGTAGAAAACGTTTGACGAAACAGAAGATGGTGGGGGAGTGATTCAGGAGAATGGAAAAACACATGTACGTGTTTTTCTTATTTTTAGATATTTTTATTTTTATTTTTTTTTTATTTTTTCCTTCTCTCTCTCTCTCTCTCTCTCTCTCTCTCTCTCTCTCTGTCGGTCTTTGTAACGTAATTTGTATCACGCGTCAGATCGCTGATATTACGCGTGTCGTACGCACTCCGACCGGTATCGACTTTCCGTTCGTGCTTCGTAGACTGGAAACAGGGTGTGTATCGTAACAGGTGGATACCTCCCGTCTGGGATGGACTTGTAGTTTAAAAGTGGATTACGAAAATATTTGTTCGAAATGGATAGTGGCTCGGAATTTTTTTTTTTTTTTAGATATCTACCGTCTGTTGCGATACACTTATTACAATGTACAGTGTTCTTCGAAGAATATCTCGGTGATTTTCTCTGGTAAGCGGACAAAGGAGAAATGTTAGTTTGCACAGACACACCTACGATATTCAATGCAAATTTTTTTTTTTTTTTTTTTAGACACAGTATAATAATGAACACTTGATTCTGAAGAATGTCTATGTCTCAGTAAATAATCTCAGTTACGAACAAAGAGATCAATCTTCGCTTTTCGCAAACATTCTGGCGATAAATGGAATCACACTCCAAAAATACTTGAACATAGTTGTGACACGAAGAGTGAAAGTACGTACAACGTAGAATCAAGTTAGACGTTGAACTTTTGTAAATTTCGCTATATACGTAGATCATAACCAAAATTCGATGGTGCACTCTTTTATCCGCCCATCAAAGATTTTCTTCATCAAGCACTGTCAAATGAACTCTCGAGTAATTTATCAACATGATCAAACTATCGATCCTCCTCGAAACGATCTAGCGTTAAGCAAAGATCATAAATGTAACCTTGAATTGATCCCCCCTCCCATTCGATCGATTCTGACAAGACAATAAAAGCAAAAAAAAAAAAAAAGGAAAAGAAAGAAGAATAAGGAGACAAGAAGGAACACTACTAGAATAGATAATTAATTAGGAACAGTAGGAACGGATTTCATTCTTGAGCAAATCCTTAAACACCTAGGGGCGAGGCCGAACGTCCGGGACCACGCAGCCGGATGTCGGTTCGGTGATTAATCGACGCTGTAAATAGCATTTGCAGCAGAATTGATGCACGAGTTGATCGAGATTATACACGCGTTACTCGTATTTATGCAAGTATATCGTACTACTCGCCTTCGTCGCACGTGTGCGACGGTGTGTTGCTTTATTTATCGTAGGAAACGCGTTTTACAAGACATTCCCAGAAGCGGGAAGGCGTGATCGATCGATTGAACGAGAACGTTCACTTACGCCTTCGCGCAATTATCTTCCGAGTGACCATTACACAGACTCGACGAGACACGCGCTCCCCGTCGAAATGACGATGCATGGCGTACAAAAAATAAATTATTCGCAGCATACGTCCCGTATGCGTATATTTGATCCGCGCGGATCAAAGCAAAATAATAGTCTGTTCGTTGAGCTTGCTACTGCCTTTCTTTCAGTGATCTTGTGCAATCAGAGCAACGTGATTCACGATTAGACTGCGGACTGTTGTGTATTTTTTTTTTTTTTTTTTTTTTTTTTTTTTTTTTTTTTTTATATAAAATAGTACTTTGCAGAGAAACGAAGAGAATTGATTTTTTTACGTTTAGATTTATACGTTGAAGAATATATATACTATGAAGTTTGAATGTATTTTCATGAAAAACCGCAGTTTAATGATATCACCACCTGAATCATTTTTATGACAAGATGTCTCTCAGGTAAGAGTTTAGGTTCGTGCGTTGAAGCGAGAACGAAGTTTAGAAAAAAAATTCGAAGGTCGTAGCGAGATTAACTTATTGGGGATTGTAACGTTACGAATACTTCGACCTCTTTAAATTTCCGACAAACTGCGAAATCTCGAAAAAGAGATCGTAAAAAAAGGATCGAGTGGACCTCCTTTCTTTCTATAGTCTCAGTATTAAAAAGAACAAAATTTCGTAGAACTGATCGTTCTCTTTTTCATCGACGACTTGCTTACATTCTATTATAAAATCATCCCGCGTGAATTAACACAAGAGAGATCGACGATAAAACGATCTCACTACGTTGGAAAAAAAGTCGCCACGCGAAAACACAAGACACGTAACAGCGAACACTCATCTTCCGATTGAAAAACTCCGATTGAAGAACTCGCGAGTCCGAATGTTTATGCAATTTTCTATTTTTGCAGACGTGACACCGAAGAAATGAAATCTCTCGTAAATAAACAGGCAGCCGATTTCTATGCAACTTTATACATATACTTTCGTAAATATAGAAATGAAGTCTAAGCAGAAATCATTCTGCTTACTCTCGACGTTTTATACAATTTTGTACATTTCGTGTGTTTCCTGCATTTCTGCATCTTTCAACTTCTTCCAAACCGTACGTATTTTGAACATTTTGCTTGATATTTTACACACTATACGTGTTATTTCGTAAATTTTTGGAACTTTAAATTTACCCAAAAATATATTCCATTTTGAATATCTCATGCATTATATGCATTATATTATCTCATACATTTATGTATCATTAGATAATACTTGTATACCAATTGTTCTATAAATATTTGGAACCTTAAATCTCTCGTGAAGAAAATGCACAAATATTCGTAGACTAGGCACGAAAAGGCACGTCGGTGATAAAAATATTGTGATATGCGAGTTCACGACAGGTTCACGCGTCGCTTGGAATGCAAAGCTCGACCTTAGAACCGTTCAGATCCGCTTACTCATAAAACTTGTATAGAATTCGATCGGTTGCGTGGCGATCGAGAGAATCTCGATCTCTGGTACGCTTTTTATACTCTGGACGGTATTCTTGTCACTGGAATCGTCTGTCACAGCGTTCCCCAACCTCCTACACGTCGCGGATAAATAAATGTTTGTTTCCCCTCAGGCTTAGACGTGTTATTCAAATATACAAAGTATCCCAGAAGCGATGGACTGAATAATACATCATCTTACTCAGCTCGTAGATTTTGTTATTTAGAATAATTGTATCTTGTTCAAGTTCACTTTCCTCTAGATCTTGTCTGTATCAGACGGAACAACTTTGAATAACTCTCTGCACGAATGATTTCTCAAATAATTTCCAACCCTGTTGTGCAAATTTTAGGCAATCTTATGCCAAGCTATTTGAACGAGCTTGAAAAAACAATTATGAATGTAGAATCATGCAGAATATTTGAAGAGTAAGCTACAAAACAAATTTCTAATCTCGTAATCAGTTTTTCGCACGTGCAAACGAATTTATTATTCACAATGAATATCCGGAATCATTTTGTTCCGAGTAGAAATGATGTCTAAGCCTTTTCCTCAATCAAGCTTTTTCTCAATCGTTCGCTTGCGTGTCCCCGGATCACAGGTCAAGAGACAGTCTATTGCACTCGCCTGGAACTGCAGATAGACCGTTGGGTCTTTTTTTTTTCTTTCTTTTTTTTTTTTTAATCGCGAAGATCGAGTTCGAAGCGAATGGAAGCGACGAGGAAACGAGCTCCTTTCGCCACATTCACGCTATAGAGTCCCGGTGTCATCGCCGGATTAATCGTCGATTTTCGAACAGTCGTGTTATAAATTACTGACGCGTTAGTATGTACAACACACGGACGACGCTACACGCACTTCTGTCTTCCACGGCTAGGACGGATCGTCGCTGCACTTGTCGCTGCTCCTCCTCGTCTCCCACACGTTGATCCTCTTCAAGGGATAACAGATCACAGCCGAGAGGAAGATCAGGCTACCGGACAGGTAGAACGAGGCGTCGTAGCTTCCGGTCGCGTCCATGAAGGCGCCTAAGACAGGAGAAACCAAACGATACCCCGAGTTAAAAAAAAAAAAAAATTTCCTTCGCGTGTAACTCTTTCATAAGAAACAACGACCGTTCTTGTTAGACTGTCGTCGATTTTTTATAGAGATTTCTAATTAATTTTTTCGACGTACGTTTATTGAACGCGAACAGGGTCTGTTAGATTGTTAGATGAAATATTTTAAGCGTATTTGTACTGCATCGCCTCGTTCATGGCACAAACACGCTTAAAATATTTAATTACGCGGCGGAGCTTATCTATATACCAAAATTGATGTTTCGTAAAGCTATCTCGCGAAGTTTATTTGCCAGGATCGACCAGATGGTTGATTCCATCGTCGATTGGTTGACGGTGATTCTTATAAATTCGTTCATACGTTAAATAACAATAATATCGAACGTTCGTTTAGTAATATTAAATAATAATAATAAAATATTCAATAATAATAATAATAATATCGAACGTTCGTGATCGTTATATCCAGCGTTATATCGTTTCGATACGCTGTCACGTAGCACGTTTCTTCTGCCGAACCTGCGGGAATCGATATTTTCTAATCACCTGCGAGAGGCGCGCCTATGGCAGCTGCCACGCCTTGAAACAGAAGAAGCAATCCGAAAGCGTTGGTCAGTTTCTCCAGCCCCAGGAGATCCACCACCAGGATTGATCGCAACGAGGCGAAGACAGCTGCAACGAGAGAAATTTTTTACATTTGATAACGCGGAGAGGTGTCGAGAAGTTAACCGGACCGATGTCGGTATCACTCAGACCAAAAATGACCAAGAATCGAAAATTTCGATTACTGAACAAATTAAACAACGAATTCGTTTTCGAATTCGTCGAATTTTATATACTTTTACATACTAACGAGTGAACGACAAGTATCAAATGTGTCCAAGGGGTTAACTTACATATACTGAGCCCAAAACCGGCAGCGTAAAAGAACTGGTAGCCCTTGGTGAGCGACAGCCCGGAGAAAATGGTCAAAAGGCCACCGGTGCTGATGAACACGTTGTTGATGACCAACGCGTTAACTCCTGGCAAACTGCTGGCAAGTCCACAGACGACACGACCAATGGTGTTGCCGATACCGATCACAGAGACGAGAAACATGGCAGTGGAGGCCTCGATGCCTGCCAATTGGGCTCGATCTGCAGAACAGAGTGCCGTTACTTCTGGTTTTACTGCTTCCCTTTTCTTCAATTGGCACGTGCTCGATTTCGAAAATAGGACACAACTCGTCTGACACCATCGAACTTATGTCCTTGGGTTCTTCTTTCTCTCTTTTTTTTTTTTTTTTTTTTTCTTTTGTAACCTTTTCTTTTGTAATGTTTTTGAAATACCGCGGAGCCTCCTTTACGCGAATCTCTTAGGATAGAACAGAATGTTTGATAGTGTAGATGATCTTCTAATTAAAGTAAAAATAACAGTTTTGAAAATATAGCACTCGAGCATCGGTCCATTAATGGGCCAGAGTTAATATTTCAAATTTAGCAGATTTATATCGTTAATTTCTAATACAATAATCTTGATTATTAATCAAATGAAACAGTAATATCATTAATTTTTAATATCTATTGCGAGAGAAAGTTCCAAGTATTCGTTTGAAATCTCTGTTTTCTGCTTCTACTGTAATCTCAGAAAATTGTTGGAAATTCAAATGCTTCAGTGATTGTTCGATTGTCGATCGGTCGAAAATAGAGAGGCTTCTACATCACACTCGCGAGAGACGCGTAAGAAATATTTTTGTCGGACGTCTCAAAATGTAAGAATGATTCGATGAAACGTGATACGATACCTGGAACGTACATGAAGGGTGTGTAGAAGCCCATCATCGTGAGTCCGCCAGATATGGCCAGGATCAGGAAGGACGGACTCTTCAGGAGACTTAGGTCGAGCATTGTCGTCAAGATGCGACGCACGCTCTCTGGACAGATGTAACAGCTTCCGCTCTCCTCTTCGGCAACATCCGTCGCGGTGGGTAAACGCGTGACAGACATGTGATAACCAACGGACGATTGCTGGGCAAATTGCGATTGAAAGAAAATCACTGTGGATCATTTAAAATACATACGAGTACGTATACAGTTTGGAATATATTGGACATTTCCAAACTTGGATAGTTCCAAATGTGTCTGAGAATCGAACTTTCAAATTGGACTCGAAGTTTGCGTTGAAAAATTTCATTTGATTTTGTCGCTCTCTTGAACGTAGTATATACGTTCTTGCTGATTGTGGTCGAAGTCTCGGTACAAGTGCTATACGTTTGTTTCGAAAAATAAAATAGAAATTCGTATAACAAAAAAAAAAAAAAAAAATCTGCCGATGCAAAGACAATTGTACATTCGTTTGAATCAAGTTTCAATCAGATAAATTTTTACTGGTTCGATCCTTAGCTTGTTCGAACTGAAATCTAATATAATACAATGACAATAAAAATTGAACATGCTACGTCAATAACAGTATTAAATATATATCGATAAATAAATACCACAGTGACTTTTATATTAACAATAAGTTTTTTAAGACTTCTGAGCAAAAGTATATCGAAACAATTGAGCTTCTTGCGAAATATTTGTTATCAACTTTCGGGCGTTGCGCTTTTTTTTTTTTTTTTTTTTTTTTTTTTTTTTCTTTTTACCTGCGACTTATAATGCGGCAGTCTGTTCAGAGAGCCGCCATAAAAGATATCGTCTCTGTAGAACGGCCTCTGTGGATCCTTGCTGAATGGATTCCGCCTGTTGCCCACCTTCAACGATTTTTGGCTACAGTCCGAGTCCGCGCGCAATCGTCTACCGCTGATCGTGTGCCTGCGAATCTGCCAACAGTTCCCTCTACTTACTTAACCAGGATGTATGTGCGGTACGTACATACGCGCTGTTATTGCGGCTAAATGAATCCTGCTGGCACAGGAATCGCCATAAACGGTGCACCGTGTCCGCAAAATACACGTATTTCTACAAACGTTCTGGCATAACCAGTTGTTGATCCTCTTATGATTTACATCTTCATCCACGGACGAATGAAATTCGTTCTTTCCGGTCTTTCAGAATCAATTAAAATTTGCTAAATTTGTTCCTCGTATACTTATATATGTATTATATATTTTATATAATATTAATTTTATATAATTAATTTTATTATTAATTTTATATAATATTAAAAAATGTATAATAATATTAATAATATTAAATTATATATTAAAAAAATATATAATATTAAATTAATTTTATTATTAATTTTCTATATTTTTAATATTTATATATTAAATACGTATGTTTTTTTAAAAATATCCGATCGATCAACCAAGCTGTCTGATCTCTTTAAAAATTCGAATAACAAAGGATAAATGTTTCACCTCTGTATAACGATAAATAATTATTCATCTTGTCCGATCATTTACTCGATCCAAGACAAACGACAACCATTTGGCTTTTCAAGAATGCAGAGTAAAAAGGTTTCACATCCCTTTCTTATTTCCTACTTCTCAACATTCTCGTACAATTTTTGTACGTACAATAATTTAACTTTGCATAACGACAATTTGTAATTATTTATTTACTTGATTCGAGACAAACATAAAAAATAGTAGCCATTTTTTTTTTTTTTTTTTTTTTCTTTAATTAGAATAACGAAGGATGAACGTTCTACATCCTTTTCTACAGATCATAAAACATTCTTTGTTTCTCGAAATTCTCGTGCAGCTGTTGCTCAATTACAGCGACAAATAACTATTTATCTACTCGGCTCGAGACAGGAAAAAACAACAACGTAAAACAGTAGCCTTCTGACCTCTTTAACAATTAGGATAATATAGGATAAGTGTCTTACACTCACCGTGGGCACTTTGCCATTCAGTCTCTCCACATCTCCACCGAGGAGATTGTTCTCCTCCTCGACGATCTTCTCCTCCATGTTCATGTCCAACTCGGGGTAAATCGGGACGGACAGCCGCTTCTCCGAGCTGCTCAACTTCCTTTCCAGTGTTCGCAGCTCCACGTGAGCCTTGTGAAGGGAATGCAACGATTTCGAGACGCTGCAAGAGAAGGTTTTCTCAAATCAACGTCCACCGGACGAAGTCTAATCCCTTTTCTTTTTGTTCCTCCTCGCAGCTGAACGCCTCTCGCGTACATACATATATCCTCACGAGTTTACCGACATACGTACGACACGGTTTGCGGTTTTTAGTCTCGGCTTCAACCAGCCGAGAGGTCGAGAAAACTTATTAAAAACTACCCTCCCCTCGCGTCTGTCGTGCAGCACGTCTTCGCGTCTTGAATAAGAGAGCTGTAATCTCTGGAAACGAAATCTCCTTAACGTGGTTACCGATTTCTATTTCTCGGGTCGTTTACTTCGAATCTCTGGCAATTCTGCCCTTGAATAGCGTGCATGGCGAGGCAAGCAAAGCGAGCTTTTAACCCGCTTGCGCCGGCAACTGGTTGCGCGGACCATAACGAGTGACCGAACCGTATACGATAATTCGTCGCTTTCCTTTTCTTTCGAGCTCGTCGTTATGATATCGCTAGATAGAAATTATTAAGCAGTAATAAACTCGTCATTTGTTTTGCCTGGGTTACATTTAAATATTAATACTTAAAATTGAGAAAATGTTGCAACTTGGGACGAAGAATTGTCGACGTGCGTGGCACATCATTCCAGCGCAAGAGGTTAAATGACGACGTATTACGAAATAATTTTACGTTGAATAATTAAATTTTCGACTGTTTTGCCAATTGCAACAGAATCGTGAGTTTTTAATATTTTAATATTTCGTTTATTCTTGGCACTACTTGTTTTCAATATCAAAAATACCACGCAACCACGATTGTTGACTCTAAAATCTTCAAAATTGTAGAACAGCGTCAGAATTAGCCGATTTTTCATTTAACGTACACGGGAAAATGTAAAGCAGAAAATATAAATTATTACTTTACTATGTTGGGTTTGCTTCCAAACAGTTCAGCAGCCGTTGGGTAATCGGTATTGTTATTAGTCCCGAAGAAGCCGCTTCTTTCTGGCTGCACGCAGTGCAACGACGCTGTGGACACATCTCTTGCCATCAGGCTGCTCTTCACTTCCAAGCCGGCGTTTTCCTGGGTAGATTTCACCTTAATCCGCGTTGGTTTCAATGGACGGAACATGGCGCCGAAAATGGTGCAATTCAAAAGCATCCCTGCACGACATTTCATTTATTAAATCGTTTTCCCATTTAACATCAAGCGAAACAGAAACTTTCGATTAGCCTTCGATTATGAAAATTTCATTCAATCAGCAAAATATCACTGAGAACACATATGTATAATACTTGATTTTGGTCGTCCAAAAATATTAATGTAAATAAACAAATGCAAATACTTGTTAACGGGACAACGTATCAAAATACTTTACATATGAATCGCTATAATTTGAAAGATAATTAAAACGAGTAGATCCATACGCTCGAAATGAAATTGAATCATTTTGAATTAAAACATAGAGGAGACGTCTCGAAGCGAGTATAAAATTTGGTGGGGAATTCTAATCTCTGAAATAAATTCGCTCGTTGAATCTTTCTCCGCGATTTCAGAAACTTTCTGCCGTTTTCGTGGAATCGGAAAACGGTGTTTCAGTTTTTTCAGCCAGAGAAAATAAGGAAACGTTCGAGCGAGTGTTAAAATTTCATTGAAAACAAACGGATAGTCGTTGGTTGTTTGACCAAGCAATCTGTGTGGAAGTACGATCCTAAAGTTTCCACTGTTTGTTCGGGAGGAGTGCCTCGAATGTGGAAAACAATGGAACGTTTCTCGCCACGTTTCTCAAACACTTGAATGCGTGCGATACTACCGGCCACTATCTTATTGACAGATTGAAAATCACCGAATCAATACAGTCGTTGTCGAAGAGTTTAATAAGAACGGAGCAAAAGTATTCGATGGAAAATAAAAATCAAAGTAAGAATGTTTGATAAAAGTGAGAACAAAAAAGAAAAAGGAGAATTCGATTCATCGAGCAGTAATTTATCGCGTCGTTACAAATATTCCGAAAATTCTTGGAATTTCAAACAAATTACAGAATCTAGCTCTTATTAAAGAATAATAAAATTCTTATTAAAGAAAATTAAAGAATAATAATAATATAAATTATAAATAAATACATTGAATGAAATATTATTTCATCCAAGTTTTAATAATCGTAATGCACATCTGCAAAAACATAGACGTTGATAAAGAGACTAACAGTAACATAAATTATAAATAAATGAATTGAATAAAATATCATATCATTCAGATTTTGATAACCGTAATTTGTACATTTGTAAAAACATAGACATTATTTTTAATAAAAAGAATAACAGTCGTATAAATTATAAATGAATGAATTGAATAAAACGTCATATTATTCAGATTTTAATCATCGTAATACACATCTGCAAAAACATAGACGTTAATGAAGAGACTAACAGTAACATAAATTATAAATAAATGAATTGAATAAAATATCATATTATTCAGATTTTAATATAATTTTAATATAATTTGTATAAAACGTAAATACGTTATATAATAATAATATGTTGTAAAATAAATAAAAATATATAATAAAAATAAAAATCTGTCAAAGACGTTGCAACATATACGTAACATATACAAAACATATACGTTATATATTAATAATACGTCATAAAATACATAAAAATATATAAAAAAAAGTAAAAATCTGTCAAAGACCGATTAGCTCGCGGTATCAGTGACGGACGTAACAATTTTAACGTTAGTTACCTGCTTGGAAGAGCAATGCACCCCTCCAACCGAATTGCTTGACCAATATATCTGAGATCGGCGCGAGCAAGAAAGCGCCGATCCCGGATCCACAGACGGCGATCCCGGTGGCCAGTGCTCGCCATCTTTCAAAATAAAATCCGGTAGTTATCACAGCCGGCACGTAAATCAGGCCTGCTCCGATACCTCCTGACAATGCAAGACACAAAAGCTACGTGAAACGAGAGAAGAGATTAGAAAACCGGGATAATTGCTATTTTTCTTTTTCTTTTTTTTTGGGTGGGGGGAGAAGTTCCTCTCATTGATGGGGTGATTTGGGATAATCATTGACGAGGATCGGGGCGATTGTTACCTAAGACTCGTTCTACTTAGAACACGCGGCGAGAGTTTCAAATTTAATTCTAATTTTATTTATTTGCGCGAGATACGCGAATACAAAAGATTACAGAGAATGGAATTAAAAGTGGAAAAGAAGAGAGAGTTGATTTTTTCGTGCCTTTGCGTACCGCAGCAACTCCAATGCATATCGTTTTTTTCTTTATGCAGTTGAGTAACTGTTACGAAATCTTCTCGTTAGGAGATTTAAATAACTAAATGCTAAATACTAAATTAACTTACAATCAGTTACTGACGAATAATAATTCAATGGCGCAAGCACACTATTATCAAAAGATGCGGAGGAAAAATATCCAAAGATCTATCAACGAGATCTGGAAGAAAAAGTCGGGAAAAAATGTCGGGAGAAATCTAAAATCTAGAAAAGAAAGTGCACGAAGCTCATAGCTCATAGATCGAAATAAAAAATTTCATTGATTTTTAATGTTTCGATAAAACAAAGCATATCAATGTCAGTCAACGTCAGTTCATCGTTTCGTCGTACGAAAGTGATTTTAACAAAATCACCAATTGCAATGACAATTTGAACATCGAAATCGCCTGTCTCCTCTTGCTCTATTTTCTGAAAAGTAAATCGAGTTCGATCAACAACTTTGAAATATGGAAGTAGACGTCGTTGTCGCGTTTCTCGCGCGCGACAGAAAGGAAACTTCTCCATGAAACTAGCGGGTACAGGGTGGACGCGCGTGAAAAGAGCGTAGCTAAATCTTTATGTACAGCTCTGGAAAGGTGTTGCCAAGAACAAAGATGCATCGAAGAGTACGCAAATGCCTGGGGCGGGGGAGGATCGTGCAAATCTGTCCTTAACAACGTCCAAAGCTTCCAAGAGCCGCGGGAATATTTAAACACCCTCTCAGACGCTCCACCCTGTATATAGGGCAAGAACTTACCGAGCACGCCGTAAGAGATGTAGAGGAACTCGATGGAGGTGCTGAAGTACGAGAGAATGAACGCGCTGCAACTTATCACGCTTCCGAGGATCGCGACCAGCCGGAAGCCGTACCTATTGGCCAACGCCGACACGAATGGACCTGCAAGCACCATGGGACACATTTTCATTCAGATTTCTTTTTTTCTTTTAATACTTAGAACCACCGACGATTAGGGAGGCATAAAGTGTTCATCATTGAAATCAAAAGAATAGAGAAACTTTGTAATACAAAATGGACCTGTACAGACTTCTATTTGTTGTATATTTTACGAAAAATTATTTAAATCCTTAAAAATACAATGTTTCACATCCATAAAGTATCTAACAAAAATTATAAATTTCTATTTGTTCGAGTTTGCATGTATCTTTGTAGAATATTAATTTTATTTGTTCGCATGTATTTATTTAAGTTTGATATATTAAGGGGAGAGTTCAGTTTTCAAGGCCAAAGGCGAAGAAGAATAAAGTGTTCAGCGTCCGTGAACGTTTGAACTTGCAAACGTAGAAGCATCTTTGAAAAATGCAGAAACTAAAAGTTCAAAAGCTAAATTCAAGGTCTAAGAAGCTAAAATCGTCGGCAATTTTTCATCCTCAGATGAAAAAAAACCAGATGGTGCGAGAATATCATTATATTAAAGTTTTAATTAAAGTATTATTATATTTGGTAATATTAATACTTTAATTAAATATTAAAGTATTATTATATTTAGTAATGTTAATACTTTGATTAAATATTAAAGTATTATTATATTTAGTAATGTTAATACTTTAATTAAATATTAAAGTATTAATATTACTAATTAAATATTGAAGTATTATTATATTTAGTAATGTTAATACTTTGATTAAATATTAAAGTATTATTATATTTAGTAATGTTAATACTTTAATTAAATATTAAAGTATTAATATTACTAATTAAATATTGAAGTATTATTATATTTAGTAATGTTAATACTTTGATTAAATATTAAAGTATTATTATATTTAGTAATGTTAATACTTTAATTAAATATTAAAGTATTATTAGTTACATTAGAAATATAAAATGATGAAAGAGAAGAAAGATTTTAAAATATGAGGAAAATATTTTTAAAAAAGTGAGGAAGATAAAACATTCCAGAGATGAATCATTCAACGTTTGGATACAAGCCATTTGTCACTGACCAGCCATGAGATAAAATCCAGACTGCAACGAACCAACTAGCGCCACCCTCGCCTTGGACACCGCGAAAGCCTCGGATATATCGTTGAGAAAGACGCCAAAGCTGAAGATAATGCCGTCCACGAATAGGTTGCACATGAAGGAGGCTGCGACGATTACCCAACCCCATCCACCATCTGGCGGCACCACCATCTCCACCTCGATGTTCTGTCAAACAGTCAAATTCAGACAAATTTCCCGTGAAAGTGTACATATATACTTTGGACACATACAGAAAAAAAAAAGGGACAATGCAAATTAATGCAAAAATTATCAGTTTATTAACGATGGATATTACCAAAATTCAAAACAAACATATCTGGGTCGCATTGGAAGCTCTTATTGTGTAATAAAATGAAGGAGAGTGATTTTACATGTCTCAAAGATCAAACTTTTGTAAATTACACACACAACCTGGTATTAATAACACCCTAATTTGCATTAATAAAAGCAACATATCGTCGTATAAAAGATTAGAAACGTATTATTCTGAATTGCATCAATAAAAATGACACATCCCAGTGTGTACATACAGAATGTTACGTTCGGTGTATTTTTAACTATTTGATATCTCGATATACTTTCGCCTCGAGAGTTTCGCCAAAGTTGAACCAACAATCGTAGGGGCAAGAAAGAAATTCCAAAATTAAAAGAAGAGAAGTGGAAATTCTGGAGGACCAAGGCTGAAAGAACGAAAGAACAACGTTCGAAACTGGCCGAATTGGCGACTTTCGCTGAATCGAAAAACCCTGAACGCGTTATCAAACCAACCGCTTCGACGGCTCCATGTACGAATTATTGCGGCGAGTATTTTTAGTCGCGTGCAACGATATCGGCGACGATTGTTGCTAATCTCTCTTCGTGGAACATCGGCCCGTAAGTTTCGCAAGTCTCACCGCTTGGTTCGCGGAGGATCTCGTTGGAGCGTCGATTTCGTAAGCATTGCCCGAGGCTCGGTTTCTTGGTCGCGAGTTTTCGATTTTGCAATAAAGAAACTTTTACTCGTGAGACTCGGATAAATCTGCGACATTCGAGTCTGATACACGAGTCATCGTTGAGAATTTTCTAGCCGACGAAATTCATTTCGTTCCAAAAATTCAACGTCGATCAACGTGACAGTCGAACTCGGAATAGTAGTTTGCCTTTCGATGCTCGTACAATACTTAACGATTTTTGTTACGACGAAGCACCGATAAATTCATCGATCGTTAATAGTCCGTCGCTCAAAAAAATTGATCCTCGGAATACTATATACTACGAAAACTATAGACCACGAAAGTACAGTGTACTACTGTTATATACTAAAATTATAATTATAATATATTATATACTAATTATATATAACATAAGTTATATATTATAATTATAATATAATAAATTATAATTATATATAATATGACTTAATAATATACAAATTAGTGTATAGCTTTATATTATATACTAATTTACATATAATATATTATATTATAATATAATCTAACTTAATATATTATATATAATATAATATATATAATTGTATACTAAAAATTATAATTATAAAATTATATATAAAATACTAAATATTAAAATATTAAATAATAAAATTAATAATAAAATACTACTTAAAATTAGTAATTCTCGGAGTAGTCTTGCAAAAGAATTATCAAAGTTGCCGAAACGACCAATTTACAATTTTTTTTTCAGAGTAGTCACGCAGCGCAATATTATCGATCGATCCCCTTCCCCCCCGTTTCATTTGCACGACCGCCAAATGATGGATCCTACGCGATGGAGGAGATGTAATTCTAATTCACTTCTCGAGTCTCTCACCTCGTTGTTGTTATCCAGAATGTCTTCCAGTTCCTCGTTCCTGTAACCGCCCCCATTCTGCTGCGGCGCTTTGACGACTTGCTCGTCCACTTTGCTCCCCAACGACGCCATCGTCGTCCACGGTTCGCTGAAACAGGACACGCGGCTTGCGAACATCATTGCAAATACCTTGACGGATCGTAAAAGCAAGGGAGGGAGAAAAAGTCAGAAAAAGGGAGGAGTTACGGTGTTTGCAATTTGTTTATAGGCGAACGTCGTTTGTACCGAGTGTTTCATGTTTCGTGGCGTAGAATGTGTCGCGAACAGTGGCCGATATCAGGAAGAAAATGACGTTCCGATAAACGGCCCGGCCAGTAGGCCAGAATCTCGAAGAAAACAGCGCTGTTTTAATCCATGGTGGAGGGGTGAGGTGGACATCGCGCGCCTCTGTCCTTCGTCGTTTTTTTTTTTCATCGAGCGTATGGTTTGTGAAACCGTTCGAGTTCGACGCGATTAGGATTCGTATGAGGTAGGTCGAGGGCGATGCGACTCACGATAAACTCGTTCATCGTAGTTTCGAATGTGTACGAAAAAAAAGTACGCGAATACAGTCCGCCTTTATACAATCTCGTAAGTGTGGAGGGATGTTGTTAATCCTGTTTCTTCGTTATTAGCTACTAATTGTGGTTAAACTCACAAATGTAGCCACGAATTTCCAAAGTGAACGATGCACAAGTATTCGAGAGAACACTCAACAAATGGCACAAACGTAACGACCGTAACGATTAAACGATCCTATTAACCGAAGATTTAGGATAACGAAAGACAGTCTGTCCTCTTCGTCAAGCTTTACGAAGAATAAAGTATCCACTTACCACTAAGTCACAAAATTAACCACGGATTTTCAACGGTAGACGATGCAGAAGCACATCCGAGAGAACATATAATAACTCGTTTTTACGTTATTCTAGGCAGAAACTGATCGATCTAGAGATCGATCGTTCGTTTTCAAATGGAAGATGATCTCTCGTCGATGGACCGTCCGTTACGATCGTTCGACAATTTGGTCGGTGGAGAACGAGCTGTTGCTCTAATAAGCGACATTATATCTCGTGTTCTGTAAATCAGCGATAAGATACGACCTCTACGTTGAGTCAGTTTCACGTCGTTTGCATGTCAAACGCTGGTGTGAACACTGTGTCTCGTTCTGTTTGCCATTTGTCTCTACGAAACTCCCACAAATCTTTCAAAGCGTGTGTGATATCGTTGATGAAAGAAGAATAAAGAAGGGCGGCAGAGGGGAGGGGAGGAGAAACCCTCGAACTTTCGAACGAATAATATTTTCCTTGGAATTACGTTTGTATCTCGTTCTACTGATTTTTCCCCATTTACCCATCGCGTGCAGTTATCTTGTGCACTGCCTAAGCACACAAATATCGAGTCATCGTGCCCCGCATTCTGTAGATATATGTACATGCAAGTAATCGAGTTTGTGAAAGGGCCATGTATCGGAATGTACAAAGTAACTCGCGATAGAAATTGGAATGTTAGTCTTTCTAATGTTTCGTTGTGTTCGAGTCATCGATTACGTGGGAATGTCGAGACGAAGTTCTAGGGGGACATTTTTAGATATTTGTTTAAATTAATATTCCTCTGAACGTGATGCGAAAAATTGAAATTTAGATGGAAATTCTTACTGATCATTAGAGCAAATGATATATAATATTGTGACATTACTATGTTTCAATTGTTAATTACGTGGAATATCGAGACGAAGTTCTAGGGGGACATTTTTAGATATT